TCCTGCCGCCGCTCGCCCTCCGCCGCCCCGGGAGCGGCCGCGCTTGCGCCGCCGTGGCAACGCGCGGGGGGATCCCGGGATGTCCTCGTCGCCCGTGGAGGAGTGCCGGTCGCCCGTGGGGCTGGACTGCTGCAGCTGCTGCCTGGACTTGGCCAACCGGAGCGGGCTGGAGGAGGGGGCCCGGGGCGAGAACAACAACCTGGGCAGCCCCACCGTCAGCAGCTTCCGGCAGCTGCAGGAGCAGCTGGTCCGCAAGAACCTCAACACCGACAAGCTGAGCTCCATCATGCGCCAGGACTCGCTGGAGCCCGTCGTGCGGGACCCCTGCTACCTCTTCAACCAGGGCATCTGCAACAGAAACATCGACCAGACCCTGCTCTCCATCCTCCTGCTCTTCCACAGGTGGGTGTCACCGACGGATGCCGAGGGGCTGCCCGTGTGCTGGATGCCCCTGCAGCCGGAGCCGGGCTGGCTGCGCGCTCGGGAGCTGGCAGCTGGCAGCATGGGGGCGAGAAGTGGGGCCTGCGGCCCCCCGGGCTGGCAGGGGCAGGGGGACCCGGCTGGGGCTGGGAGGGTGGCAGCGTCGGGGGTCTCTAGGCAGGGAGAAGCATGAGCGGCCGTGCGTGGCAGGGAGCCCAGTCTGCCCGCCATGGGTGGTGTCAGCCCAGTCCCCGGTGCAGGTCCGGGTGGCTCTGCCCCACGATGGCCAGCGGTGCCCCTCTGTTGGTGCCCTGTGTCCCTCCGGGTAGTGACAACAGCCTCCAGCTGTGTGTCTCGGCCCCTGGACTCTCTGTTCATCTCCGTGGCTACATCTTATCCAGGCAGACGTTGCCTGCAGGGGCATAGGCAGTGTCCAGTGTCAAATAGGCACCATCCTCTTAGACCTGCATGGAGAAGGGCAGCTTGTTACTTGGGAAACAGCTGTGCGGCCTCAAAAGCCACGTTTAGAGTTGGTGAGAAACTGGGTAGGGAGCCCAGGAGTCCTGCTGCCAGGTCCTGCTCTTTCAGCAGCTTCCCTGTCTCTCCCTGGAGTAAATTGAGTGGAGACAGATTTGGCCTGGGTGGTATTTCCCGTCCCTGGAAAGAGACTCTGCCCCTGACCAAGCTGCTCCCTCTCGGCTCAGAGCAGGCTGCTCCGGGCTGCCTGCACCCAAGCAGCGGGACGTGCGTGGGACTGGGCCCATCCACTTGCCAGAGGGCTGGGCTTTACCCCGCCATGGCTGGGGGGGAAGGCAGGAGTGCGGGGTCCCTCCCTGCTCCCCTGCTCCGGCATTGCAGGCAGAGGAGACTGAATGGGGGGGCCCGGGGCTGCCACCCCGCAGGGTCTCCAGCCCTGATGAGGGTCTCCAGCCCTGATAAGGGGGACCCCAGGGGTGGGGAGGGGACAGAGCTGTCTCAGGTCCTGCACTGGCACCTCCAGCCCTCCGCTGGGGCTGGCCCTGGTGCCCGGCCCCCCTGGAGGGCTGGTGAGACAACGGGCAGCAGCCTGTGCTCTGGGCTGGCAGGCCCGGGGATCTCCAGCTCAGCCTTGGAAAAGCCGAGCTGGCCCAGGGGGTGCCGCAGGGAGCCGCAGGGTGGTAGCACCCAGAGCTGGCCGTGGCTTCAGCAGGTGGGACAGTCCCAGGGCTGAGGGGACACGTGGCTCATCCGTGCGTATGTGGCAGGCGTCTGCGTGACTGGCAGGGCGGGCAGCGGCTCTGGGGCTCGTTCCTCTGCCGTGGGTGGGGTAGCGTACAGGTGGGGCGCGCGGCAGCACCCACGTGTTTGCAGACACCTCGCCATTCCTTCCCCTCCCTGAATGCACATGCACCTGTAGGCATGCTCCTGGGCTGTGCACGGGCATGCAAGCCACCCTTCGCTCCTCTTGCCGGCACGGGGAGGCGGGTGGGCTCACACGTGGCTGCCCCACGCGTGCGAGCCACCCAGGCGGTGCGCGCACGCCTCCTCGCCCCAGCCAGCGTCTCACGCTGCGCAGGCTGCTCGCTCTGAGCCATCCTCGGTGAAGACGCTCCTCCCCCACTTAACTAATGCCGAG